GATGTCTGGTAGTGTGTTATAGAATTCTGGAGGAGCTAGTACTGATTGGAAAATTGGGGAAAGGAGGAATGTTTAAGATTGAGATACCTGTAGAAGATCTAAGTGGATATTTTTTATATAGAAATCTAAAGTTTTAGGGGAAGATTGATACTAGAAATTTGTATTTGGAATCAACAACATATATAGTAAATGGAGCCATACAAGTAAATGAGATCATCCAGGGAAAACTAAACTTGTCAAGTGCAGAGGGAAGAGGTTAAAGGCCAGAACTCTGGAGAACACCAGAAGAAAATACTTTTTGTTTTGTTTTGTTTGATAGTTGTTTATTGATACACTTTAAAACCAGCAATAAAGAATTTCAAACAGCTTTAGCATATCATAGGATACTTAATATAAATCCTCTAGGAGTGAGAGGACTCCATTAAAAATTTATATGAAAAAAGACATTCATAGTCAGTTCCCAGGACTGTGGAATAGGAAAGAAATATAAAAGCCTTCCTCTGCCCTTACTCCATGGATTGGCTCATGGAATAGAGAAATATTTCCTTTTCCAGCCTAACTGCCAGATGGTAAAATATTACCCAAGTGTTTCATGTCTGTTTGGAATAAAGTTGTGAAGAAAGGAGTGCCTCTCCTAAAAATATTGATTTTGTGATTAAGTGGAGACGTTCTTTTTCTGATTGTTTAGTTTGGGGGCCAAACTTCTCTCAACAGGTATGTTGAGAGAAAGGTGTGGGAGTTGTTCTAATGTAAAATCGAAACCAGTGACAAGCACAAAACAGTGACACATCCTCTGGAAATACAAGCAGTGAAAGATACTCCTTTATATTGTGTTTTAGCTGACTTTTACAAGTTCATCTAGCTCTCGCCATTATTCCACTTAATTAGAAAGAAACAAGTCAATGTGGCCAGATCTTTCTCAATTCCTTAGTGAAGACAGAGACGTGGGAATTATCATTCCTGAACCTCTATCCAAGCTTCAGCAATTTTCTCCATAGACTTAGAGAGATTACTCAAGTCCCCAACCAATTTTACCATTTGCAAAAAGGATGCATTGGAATTTGAAGGAATAATTAGATGTGCGTGGAATATAAAATCTACTGTATATCTCTACAGCTAAAAGAACTTTTACTGTTTTTGGAACCTGAAACAGTTTACTAGTAAACTGCATTTGCTCCTGGACTCATGGCATATTCCCTGTATTAAGGATACAGGTGGCTAGAGAGACTTGTGGCTGGGGTTGTGCTGAGTGCTTATAGCACATCCTCATACTGATGTCTAGTGAGGAATTGGTTGGACCCAGATCTGAAGCCCACAGACAAGTATGAGCTGGACAGAAAATCTTGTGAGAAATCACCTATGGATGACAGTTAAAACATGGCATTAGCCACAGTCACCTACAGAGTGTATACATTTGAGACAGCACTGGTTTGAATATATGACCCTAGAAAACACCAGCGGTTAAAGGACAGATAGGGGAAGATCCCAGAAGGAGACCAAGTCATTCCTGTTAATTCTTTTACATCAGAAAAGTCAAGGGAGTAAATTTAAAAGAAGAGGAATTGTCAACAGTGTCCACTGCAGCTGAGAGAGCTATTAAGACAAGGCCTGAAGAGACTCCATTAGTTGATGCTGACCGACTGGCCTGCTTAGGGCAAATCTTGGAAGCACTGTCACATGATTTATTCTGTGTTCCTGCCAGAGGGGAAAAGCCAGGCTCAGAATAGCAGCAGGTGTTGGGTAACCATCTTGCAGTTATGAAAAGGAATTCTTTCATTGGGTAACAGGTTAACTATACAGCTTCTTAACTCTTCTGGAAATCTAAGATTTTGCTATGCTAGCTAGCATTCAGGTTGCCCAACTTTGAATAATTAGCAACAGGGCTTGAATAGCAGGATTTTTTTTACTCTACTCTAAGGTCTTTCATTAGTTAGAAATAGTAACATCTGAAAGTTGGATATTCTGGATTGTCATGCAAACCACTTTAGGTGCCCATAGGAACATGCAGCCTTTCATATGCACACCCTCAGCCAAAGCGGCATCGTGCAGATAACCTGTACTCATCTGGTTAGCGTTTCACTTTGCTTTTGACTTTTAATCGAAACTAAACATTAATATAAGAAGTTTTGATAATAACCTATGAACTTCATCCTTTTTTAAAAGGTAGCATAGCCCTCTTCCTGTAGTGTAACCATAGCAACTGACAGGGAACAGAGAAAGAACGCTTTCACACATGCTGTGCTAATTAATCCTGTCCTACAGTTTTCTTTCAGCTGGAGGATGCAGTTTAATAAATTTTGCATGAGTAAGCGTGTTTTGATGCATAACTATATAAATGCACAGCAATATCTTTACCAAAGATATTTATTAAAATTGTAGTTATATATTCCTACTTCAAGGTGTACTTTTTTTTCCAATTCATTGTTTTCATAATTTGCTCCCTCTCTGAAAAGTTTTGAGATTTATTTATCTTTTTAACTGAACAGAAATATTTTTAGGGTGAAAACCTTTTGTTTATCCATATACAGGACATTTTCCACAAGAAACTCTTTTAATTGACTATGTTAAAGTGAAATGATGAAAGAATTTTTCTCAAGTGACACAGAAGAATGTATCTTAAAAATATAACATTCTTCAATATGACACATTTACATGCAAACCATTTTAAGAAACTGTCTTAACACATTGAAAACTCATTTTCACTGTTGATTTGGAAAGATATGCGGCCCACGTGAACAGAGTTTGAGCAGTCCTTTAAACATGTGGGAAGGAGGGAAAATAATGTAGACAAAGAGCTTTTCTTTATTTATATTTTCCAGAAATATTTAACCAGTTTTACAAACTTATATTCAGAGTGAACATAATTGACTTGAAATCACATGTAATTATTTAAATTTGTATTCTTTCTGGGTTATTTTGAGGTCTTGTTCTCCCTTTAAACTGAAAATATCACAATATTTTATAACCAGTCTGGTCGTCTGAGCTGTCAAAGAAAATCTCAGAGTTTTCATTGTCTTATCCCTCTGGCCTAGCTTTCTGTCAACAGGGCCTCGGAAAAACCAAGAGAATCCAGCCTGAGTGTTTTTGGCATCCTATTTGACTTGACAACACCATATGGAACGAGTCAGAACCTATTTCAGGACTTGTGCTTAGCTCTTTGGTCTCTGTGTAGAAGCATAGCCATTTGAAGAACTAAACCTTTTGATGGGATTACTTAATTCTGGAAACATATTACCATCCTGACTCTCCTGTCTGTTCAATTTTGCCTGAATTGAGGTAGGATAAAACCTTAGAGAGAAAAGAAGTAGAGGTTATTATGGAGATCCATTATCAAAAATATTCTATTCATGTGCAGAAAAGTTGGGAACCATTTTTATGTATGTTATAGTTGTATAAACTATACATTTTAATATAGAATACTTATTAACCAGTTTATGATATGCCATTGTATTATTATAAAAACTGCTTTGTAGAAAAAAATTGTTACTGTAACCATAGTTGAATTAATTAAAAATTCTTTGTCTCATCAGCTGTCCTACTGATTTTAACATTTACATATAATACAATAAAGGGAATGCCAAGTATTTAATAAACAGAGAAAAAGTCATGTTCATAAGGACTACATAAAAATCTAAATAATCGGAACATTAAAATGAATATGTTATGGTAGGTTCACTGTAAAAATGTTCTATGTGCTTTGAGCTTCACAGTGATAAATAATACTTTACACTTGCCATTAATGAACATACCCAGATGGAAAGCTATCACACAGGGTTTTTTTTCTTTTAAAAAAAGTATCATCTAGGGGCTGGCCCAGTGGCCGAGTGGTTAAGTTCGTACACTCTGCTTGGGCGGCCCAGGGTTTCGCTGATTTGGATCCTGGGCGCGGACGTGGCATTGCTCATCAGGCCACATTGAGGCGGCGTCCCACATGCCACAACTAGAAGGACCCATAACTAAGAATATACAACTATGTACTGGGGGGATTTGGGGAGAAAAAGCAGAAAAAAAAAAGATTGGCAACCGTTGTTAGCTCAGGTGCCAATCTTTAAAAAAACAAATAAAATCTATAGATTTTGTGATTTTTCAAAGAATTATTTATTCATTGTAGAAAACTTGGAAAAAACTCAGAAAAATTTAATAAGTAAAAAAACATGATAATCCCATATTCCAGAGCTAACCACTATAGACATACAAATATATTTTCTGCCCTTCTTTTTTCTCTGCATAAGTATTTCTGGTTGTGAAGTCCAGCTGCACATGATTTATCACTTAACATATTATTTTGACCATCTTCCCAGTTTTTAAAAATTCTTAGAAAACATTTTATTATATACAATCTCATCATCTCTATGTACCAGATATATTTAACAATTCCTTCATAATTATTTATTTAGGTGATTTTTAAATGAGCTTCGTGAATAAAGATTTCCTAGTGAGTGTTTGATAGAACACTGAAACCAAAAGAAATTTTGGAACAACTCTTTGAGAAAAGTGTCATACTCTCCTTTCAGATTCACAATATACATTAGAAAAATTAAGGGCACTGAGAAGTCTCATAGTATGGAAAATTGTTTAACTCTTAAGTGATCTTTTCTCAAAGTTATTTGACCTTGGAACCCTTGCTCATAACATGTTAAATAACTTACATAACTTTCAGTACTAGAGTTCTGTGAAACATTCTTTGTAAAGTCTAGGAGATTTCTAAGCTTCTGTGCAATATCTAATAGTTTATGAATCATTTGTTTACTCTCCTGGGATTTTATTAGATTCATGGTGCTTTATGAGGAAATAAAAATGATTTGTTGGTTATTAGCATGTATTTGAAACATGTAGACCTTAACATGCTTTCCCTAGTCTTTCTAGTATCCTTGACATAGCATTTGTGATTCTGTATTACAATATCACGTTTGACCTTTTAAAACTGGGAACATTCAAATTTAAATTCCCTTGTTCTTTTAATGCCCATTAAACTTCTTTATGTTTCATGTAATCCACAGGTCTTGCAAGAGCAAAATCCGTCCCTAGCCACACGTACTCCAATGAAGTGGTTACCTTGTGGTATAGACCTCCAGATGTCCTCCTGGGCTCGACAGAATATTCCACCTGCCTTGACATGTGGTGAGCAATGGAAGCTTTATTCTAGCTAATCTATCTGTAGTGCTTGGTCTAGGTCAAGCCTAGACAAACATCCTAACAGTTGGAATGAAGATTAATGATGCCAGAGTGTTTGCCTGTGTGTGGCAATACGGCTGGATCTTTTAAAACTTGATTGGGAATGTTCCCTAATCAGAGACTCCCTTGCAGATGGTGTCTGGTAATGGTTCTTGATGGACAAGGGCAGAGACATTTTTCAAACTGTCGGTACAGTGATTTTTGTCCCTAAGGATCTTAATTTGTGGCTTTGTTTTATAACAAAGTATCTATCTCCAAACAGCAGTATGGGTTGGAAGTAATAGGAGCATGTTTAAATTTACAACAAAGCTAGGATAAGTGCTCTGGAAAATTTTGGTGCAACTGTTAGGCAGTAAATTTGGTGCAGTATACTCCTGAAAACTGTTGGTACCAGTTATTTAAAATGAAGTAAATCAGTTACTTAAAAAAACTTCACTATAAGTTTAATTTCAATAGAGTCTTAGTTTCACACAATGATTTAGCAAAACTTAAAAATCTGTGTTGGAGGGCGAATAACTTGTGAGGTTTAATGCGTAATTATTATTAATGATAAACTACAATTAGTTCCCATTCCAGGGTGATCTAAATCAAATAATCAAATAAGGGAATAATCTTATTTTTAGCACTCAGGAAAGGCTTACTAGCGACTGTTGCAAGTGTCCTTTATTAATAGAAAAACCCTTTTCTAGACTCACAATTGTGGTCAAAGTGAAACAATTCCTGCAGCACATGGCCATTTTATGCAGGAATTGTCTCCTATGAATGATTATACAGAATTCAGCTACATGTTCATAATATGATAATGTTTGTGACCTTAATAAAGCTTCAGAGTTTGTTGTTTATCTTACTGCTGGGTACGTACTTCACTGCGCTACCCTCGGTAATCTTGGCTTTTAGTAAATTAGGCTGCAGTGAGGCCTGGCTTCTTCCCTGATGTTTTTAGTCCAAGCGTCCTACGGTGAGAAAACAAGTTCCTTGTGATGTAGAGCACAGTGTAGATTTTCTTAATTTAGGTTCCAACAGCAGCCCCAGGAATGAGGTTTCAGAATCTGTGAAACCACTGAAAATATATGCAACGTTTTGTGTACACGTGGATATATTTATTTTTATGGAGTGTAAATCTATAGCTTTCAATAGAGCTATGAAAGGATCTGGGTCATCAAACAGCCTAAGATCTATTGTCATAAATTTTGCAATGCCTTAGAATGAATCTAATACCATCGTAATGCAGTTCCAAAACACTGAGAATAAAGATGCCTGTCTATCATTGAAGAGCTGAGCTAATCCGTTTTTTCATCACACTTCCTGACTTTGTTTGGACTATTGTTTTACACAATTAGATTTTTTTCCCCAAGGCTAGGCAGGGGCTTGGGCAAAATAGATATTTTGATCATGGGTTGTAATGACAGAAAAGTTTGGAAATAAAGGTCAATGAATGCATCAGGATATCAGTTACTAACTTTCTCATTCACTTCCTCCTTCCTGCCTTACAGTTGAGAGTTGGCTATGCAAAGAATCATTTCTTAATATTTTTGAGTTATGGAGTGTTCTGTGTCTTTTGAGTGTGGAAATTCTAGGTTGTCTTTCAGTGAGGTCAGTTAAGGACTTTGCTAATAGATCATAGTTTGGAAGTATTTGTGGCATGGAGCCAGTTTTGTCTGGGTGCTTGGCAGTTCAGTTAAGACTCTCCCCTCATAATTGAGAGAAGCTGTTTTTTATACACTAGTGGCTAATTTTTCCCAAATCTTTAGAGTGCTCTTTAAAGTACAAAGAACCACATGGATTGTGACTTGCTGACGTGTCTGTTTCTGGTGTGCAGTATTTGATTTCCAGTCTGTGCCTCCCCACTCTCCTCTTTTCTTTCACATGTGTGTGTGCATGTGTGTTCATTCTCTTAAGGAAGAAAGCTTGGTCGCTTTTGCTTTAAACAGAGACGTAATGAAGCATAAGAATACTGTTATTTAAGTGGGAGGGAGGAAAACTGATACAAAATAGTAGACCCCAAATGCCCTTTTCTCTGCATGCCAAGATTATTCATTGCCAAAAACAAGTAGTAAATGTGTTATGTGTAAGCAGTTCCCCATGCTTGTTGGCTCTTTATTTCTAAGCCCTAAAATCTGAATTATGTCTGTGCTATGCCTGTCATTCTGCATCTGATTTCATTCCAAGCCATCTTCTAAAAGCCATTTTGTTATTATCCTTTAAGTCAGGTAAAACGTATGTATTTTTCCAGTTACAGAGAAGTTCACAGGGCACTGATTTTTGCATAATCAATGACATTGATGCTGGGTGTTCAAAGACCTAGATTTAGGACTATAATTGAGTCATGGCTCAGCTGCACCAAAGAGAAGTACAAATATTAACCCATGGACAATAGCAGGGAGGCAGGTGGCAGTGGTTTCGGGCTATTTTTACAGTTCATTTACTATCCTGGGGCAGTAGGGTAGTAACTAAAAACTAATGATCCTACACAGTGTTACATTTTCCAGTTTTCTGTTTAAATAGCCACAGGCAATAAAAATATTAATGAAGACAGCATATGCATTAACATTGGCAGCAAGTGATGGAAATCAGTGCTCACCGTGTTATAATTTACTGCTCAAGGTCTCCAGCACCGTGGCAACGTGCGAATATACTGTGCGAATGAGAACTCATCAAGACAGAGAGTTTTTGAAACCTTTGTCTCCCTCTGTGAAGGAGGATTTAAGCAGAAGAATCAAACTGGACATTCTTTCGTTATGACTTCTCTTAATTCTTGGATTTTGTAACTCTTTGAAAGTCAAAAGCATAAGAAATCACCTTTAAGCTCTAAACCAAAAAGGGTTTACCAAGTACTGAAAACCACATTAAGAGAAGTGCAGATGTGAAAAGCAGCTTATCTATGTGGTTCCTCTCTTGTCAGGGAGTTCTGATCTAGCTGCCGAGGTCATTGCTCTAGATAAGCTTTATGTTCCTTTACAGAAGCTCCTAAATATGTTTAGAGTGGCATTTGTTTTCTAAAGCAAAAGGTTACTTGGGATTATTTTAAGGGATTAATTTTTACCATAAGTTATCTGTAGCTAGTAAACAATTCCCTTGTCATGGTACTTTTGGGGGGCGCTTACCTTGTGGTATCAATTACAGTGCTCCCCAACATGGTGTGTGAGGAGTGATAGCATGTCAGTCTCTTCCTTTCATCATCTTTTTAAAAGCTAATTAACATATTAACTATGCTTGTCAAAATATGGGGCAAATCATTTATAAATAAGCCTGTCAAATGTAATGAGATTGCATATTAAATCACTCTTTTCTCTATTACATCTCTGATTTAAGATTAAAATTAATTTATTTAACATTGTAGCAGCTGGGTGGTTAGAAAAAATTTCCATATCAGTCTTGATATATAGGAAAATGTCTGCATCAAAATTGATTTTGCATATATCAGAAAAGAAATTGCCTATTTATTGAGAATTATAAGGCCATTTAGCATTGCTTTTTATTAAATAGCCTAATCACCATACATATTGGCAATATACAGAGTTCTGCCATCATCCTTAGTGATCTCTCTTGAACCAAGATCATTTATGTAATAAAGTAAGGTTTCCTAGGACTCAGGTTTGTTTACCAGTGTTTTAAAAGAGAGAATCATAAACGAATTCTACTATAGCCCCCACCCTGAAAATAAATTTGTTCTATATGAGGTCCTGTTTTGAGTACTTGAGTAATAGTAATAATAACAACTGAGTCTTAAGTAATAGTAATAGTAACAATAGTAAATACATTTATTGAACACAAGCTGCATTCTAAGCCCTCTTCTGCGTTTCAGCTCCTTACCTACTATACCGTGATACAGTGGAAGAAATCAAAACCCAGAGAGACTCAATAGGATGGTAAAGGTCACACAGTTAGTAAATGGAGGCAACATTCCAACTCAGGGCTAACCTACATTCGAAAGCTTTTTTCTCTTTACAGCATATTACATAATCTCTTAAGATGATTTAAAAGGAATTAGTTTTTATTTTACTGGTAAAGTGATTCTAAAACGCAAATACAGAAAAATTCCTGTTTTGTAATTGGGGTTATGCTCTGAGCCATGTTGGATCCTTTGCCTACTTCTGATAAAGTGGGTGGCTTTCACTCTCATTCAGCAGCCTTGTGGACTGCTTTCTCCCCTCACGTCAGTATTCTGTATCATATAGTTTTATTCAGGGAGAACTTTCTTCAGAATAAACTTAAGACATGAATCATTGGATTGAATACATTTTCATGGAACCAGTATCTATGCTGGCATGTATTTTTCCAACTCCTAACCATTACTCATTTATCATTTCTGCTAAAATGAATGAGTCTATTTAAAAAAGAATGCTAGCAAGAATGAGAATTTGAATTGATCAGCTACATAATGTCATCTGTCTGTCAACACTATTTACACAGTTTCTAATTAATTGGGTCATAAGACCAAGGGGGATTCAGTTAGGCACTGTCAAAAGTAGCAACTCTTTAAGAGCTGCTCAAATAAAAGGTGGTCAAAGTGACTTGCTGGTATAGTCACTGACAATGCAATGGAACATAACGAAAGATCACGGGGCAATCAGAAGAGCTTCTAGGTGATTGAAAGCTGAGCTCGTGGTGGCAGCCGTGGTTTCTGAGCCCACTCCCACTACTAAGTCCCTTAAAATTAAGATAACCATTTAGTATAGTATCCACACCAGGATACCTTTGAGAGTTAATAGTAATTCTGCCAGGACAATAGGCATAAAACAGGGATTTAACTGTGGCGTGGTCATCTTTCTCATAAAGCACCAGAGCACTAGTTTGCTAAATATTAGTAGTCAGAAGAGACAATGCGTCTGAGTTCTTAATTCACACCTAAGCACTGCTGGCTACAAACACCAATTCCTTACAGAAAACTTCTGTTGCATTGCTTAATAACGAATTATCTCCAAAAGCACAACTCTGTAATTAGA